CCCAGAAAACGTGTAATCAATAAGGTATTATGAAGTAGGTGAAGATAACAAACCGTTATCGATCTAAAAAAAAACCTACAAGCAATGCAAATCTGGACATAAAACACGGACACGTGGAAATTTCACAGGTTTACTTAACAAAAGGAATATATTGTGGAAAAGTGAAAAAAGTAATCTCATCTAAGTTTCATGACGCTATGGCCAGGTGCATTTGTAGAATGAACATCCCCTGTGGACCGGTTACGCCTGCTATGGGCCCTATTAAATCCTATATAAATTGGTAATGAAATATTCACTTCATTCCTAGAAAGACTATAGTCCTCATCGTCCATATGAGAATGAAAATGTGAAGATTTCGAACTAATAAAAATATTTAAATCCAATAAAATTTGAGAAAATTAAACACCCCCACCCCTCCCCTCCACCCGGAAACACCAGACGAGGGATCGAATCAAGGAGTTTGTTTTTCTGTCGAAGACTTAATCTATAAGCATTATTTCTTGATCAGATTATAATGAGTGATTCGATGAAAAAAAAAAATCAATATGTGAATTAAACGAAGACCTAACAAAAACGTCAATCAATATTCAGATAGGTTTGCACACAAGGTAATTGTTGCGACCATAGAATTTGCAAGATAATTTTAAACGCGATTGTTGATACCTCTGTAACCTCAAATTATTTGCCAACAGCCTTCCTTAACAAATGATCAAATGCAGTATACGGTATTGTGTATCGATTAAATTGGGAGACATAAACACAATAAGCAGGCGATAATGTCTTTTACTGCTAAATAGATACGTTCAAAAACCTCTTTGTATTGCATTTCATAAATTTGTATAATTTCGTATCTACATACATTCATTATTCATACAAAACAATTTCTTCTTATTATATTAAATCAAAATCTGTATAAATTAAAGAAAGATTTTCGTATTCTTTAAAGCTTTATATTAATAGATTAATTTATTGTTGTGATGTTGTTTTAATTTCCTCCCACAATCTGCATTCACAACTAGGATATATCTGTCGTCTGTTTGCTATTAAAATATCAAAGAATAGATAGCTTAAAAGCATACATCTAGCTTGCAATCATTTTAACTAGAACGCCTTTGTGTTTCTCTTCAAAAGATTGCTCAGAAAGGTAATTTTAAAAGATTCTAAAACTGTAAAATCACATATTTTCATAGGGTCAAATCTTCGTTGATTTAGTAAAAAATATTGTTTCCTAGGGGATTTCATTTATTTATTTATTTGAAATTTTACATTTCACGGAGGACGTAGATTCGTGGGTCTCTCTATACCATGAAAATAATAAAAAATAAACCCATGAAATAAGTGATTTCACATTATTTTAAAAAGAATATTGCAAGAAAAAGAAGGTTGCAAAACTCGTAAAATGTCTTTACATGTCAAAGGAACAAAATTTTTAACTGTACTATACTATGTACATGTAGTATAAATTATTGCTATTGATATAGAAAAGACTGTACTATAAATTATTGATATAGAAAAAGACTGTACTTAGAATTATTGATATTTTTTTTCTTCTAAAAATTATTGATATAGAAAAAAAAATCCTATGAATAGTTTGAAAAACAGAAATTTTAAATTTGAATTTTCATATTTCTCAATTGTTCGCTATGGAAAAAAGCAGTACGTACATAATGATTACATTGTAGTAGAAATTGATAAGTAGAAATCATTTTTCCTGACATTTTACATGTAGTGTAAGTAGTATTGTTAGCTTTATTTGCACTTAAGAACAGTTTACTGACCACAGGACTGATTTTCTTTTCGTTATACACTATCATTGTGATTTTTAACTCCCCAAACCTTTTTTACGTGGAAGCTCTCTGATAAACATTTCAATTATATACATATGCTTTACGTGGCATAATCACTTTATTTTCAAATGTTTGACTATCTCAAGCAAATTCAAATAGAGGTGTCTAAAACGTTCTAAGTATGATTTAAGTATTATTTTAAAGTTTCATAAATAGTACAAAAGAACATTTTATATTGTAAACTGCCTTAATGAGCAACTACATGTAGTTTTAGATACAAAAGATGTTTCAAATACAATAGTCTTTATCCAAAAATCATTACAAAAACATGCCAGTGCTTGTTAGTAATGTGATTGCTTGCATGTTCTATTGCTAGAGAGTTAGCAACTAAGAGCATCAACTCGCGTAAAATGTTAGTCAATAGTTATATAGAATTATTGAACATTTGAATACCAGATTTCTCTGCAGAAAGAGTTGAAAAAAGATTCTATAGGTATTTATGTTGAGAGTTTCCTTTATTGAAAATAAAAAAGTCAATGGGTGAATTAATTTTCTATCAATCTACAGCTTGTTTGGAACATATTACTGTCCTCTGAAAAAGAAGGAATCTGAATCCTACTCTACGGTAAAAAAGCGTTAAATTCTATGTATCGCTTCTGATAAATTTGTATTATTAAGCATCTACGTACATTCATACAAAACATTTTCCTCTAATAATATTAAATCAAAATCTGCATAAATTAAAGAAAGATCTTTTTTTGTATTCTTTGTGACTCTATATTAATAAATTAACTTATTGGTGTGAAGTTGTTTTAATTTTCCTCACCCAACCTACATTCACACATAACAGTCGGATATACAAGTAACTGTCGTCTGTTTGATATTAAAATATCACAGAATAGATAGCTTTAAAAGATAGCTTTAAAACATGCAACATCTAGCTTGCAATCATCTTGACTAGAATGCCTTTGTGTTTCTCGTCAAAAAGAATGCTCAGAGAGATAAATGTAAAAGATTCAAATACTCTAAAATCAAATATTTTTACGGGGTAAATTTTTTTGTGGTTTGAGAAGCAAATATTGTTTTACGCGCGTTTTTATTTCGTGGATGAAGAAGTGGAACGTTAGTTTTGTTGAAATTTTACATTTCGTGGAGGACATAAATTCGTGGGTCTCTCCCTACCATGAAAATAATAAATATTGAACCCCACGAAAATAAGGGATTTTATATTATTTTAAAATAAAAATTTTCAAGACAAATGAAGGTGCGAAACTTATAATATGTAATTTTATGCAGCAGGAACGAAATTTGTAACTGTGCTATAAAATGTACATGTAGTATAAATTATTGCTATTTGATATAAAAAAGACTGTACTATAAATTATCTATATAGAAAAAAATGTACTATAAATTATTGATATAAAAACTATACTAAAAATTATTAATTTAGAAAAAAAATCCTATGAATAGTTTGAAAAACAGAAACTTTAAATTTGAATTTTCATATTTCACACTTGTTGGCTATGGAAAAAGAAGTGCATAATTATTTACATTGTAGTAGAAATTAATAAGTAGAGACCATTTTCCCAGTCGTTTTGATATTAGTAGTATAGTTAGCTTTTTTGCACATAAGAACAGTTTACTCATTACATGATTGATATTTTTTTTTCGTTATACACTTTCATTGTGATTTTTAGCTCCCAAAACATTTTTTACGGGGAAGCTCTCATCGTATTTTTATCTGATAAGCATTTCAATTATATACCTCAGTTGCAATAAATCACTCTTATTTTCAAATGTTTGACTATCTCAAGCAAATTCAAGTAGGGGTGTATAAAATATTCTAAGTATGATTTAAGTATTATTTTAAAGTTTCATAAATAATACAAAAGAAAAATTTACATTGTTAACTGCCTTAACGTGCATCTAGTTTAAGATATGGAAGATTTTTCAAATACTATAGTCTTTATCTAAAAATCATTACAAAAACATGCCAGTGCTTGTTAGTAATGTGATTGTGTTTGCATATTCTATTGCTAGAGAGTTAACAACTAAGAGCATCAACTCGCGTAAAATGTTAGTCAATAGTTGTATAGAATTATTGAACATTTGTAATACCTGATTTCACTGCTGAAAGAGTTGAAAAAAGATTCTATAGATATTTCTGTTAAGACTTTTTCTGTATTAAAAAATAAATTGCCTTTTCGTATTTGTGGTCAGTGATCTTACATAAAATATTATTTGGACATCGTTGTTTCATTCCTTCCCTAATTCTTTCCTTTCCTAATTCATGAAATGCCCGTTCAAAACTGTTAAGAACGTCCAATGCTTATTTAAAGCAATTAGAGTAACACACGCTTATAACAAAGTGCCAAGGGCCGATGATTTTGCTTCGTTTTGAAAGTAATTCATTACATCCTTTAAGATCACAATATATTTTAAAGCCACGGGGAATGAAAATCACTTCGCTGTAAGCTTTAATTCATTATAAGCGTATTTTACTGTATTACCCAGAATACTGATTTCTTTATCAATATTAATAAAAAATTCTTTAAGGAAATGTTTAGTTCGTTTTCTGTTTAACATTTTCTTCAATAACACCGATCATTTCTTCGAATCTCCTATTTAAAAGTAAATTTAAAGCAGTTTCAATAAATTATATAAAAACTTATTTCAATTATAAATATTATGGTCAACCAAATCTTGCAGCAATCCACTAATGTATCTTGATATTTAACCCACCCACCCCAAATGAATTTCAGCAAAGAAATTTGATGGTGATTTACATTTACCCATAATAGTGAGAGACATATAAAGAACTGTTCACATCTCCATAACATCCATGTTATAAATTGCTTATTATACCGAACCAAGAAAGATGCATGGAATAAAATACAAATGAATAACGTAAACATTTCTCGAGAGCAATAAAACTGATTTAATGGAGTGACATTCACAAAACTAAATATTTACATTTCACCTTCGTGTTTAAACCGAAAAAAATGCACCAAGGCTTTGAATTTCAAGCCACCATATATCGGTAGTCTATTGTGAGGTCACAATCGTGAAATACAATGATTTGGTGCAGGGCGAACACGACGTACATGTGACCTTCTCATCAGCTTTTGGTTTACTAGTGATAACGTAAATCTTATTTTCCTTTGATTGGCCTATCTCAATACGACCCTTAAAAGGTGGACTAAAAGTACTCACCAATAGAATCTATAGATTTATATTCATAAGTAGCTGCAAATCCTTTCTTGTTGGAATTTGATTTGGAATGGAAATACACACTTAAATAGTTACTGTGTGATGTAATGGTAGGAACACTGTTACTACCGCAGATGAAAGCTATCCTCTCTGTTTTATTTCTGTTATCAAACACCTCAATGTAGTCTTCATCTTTATTGCAGCTTAAAAAAGACACAAAGTATGTTAGTGAAGCATCAAGTACATGTAAGATATTAAGTTATTTCTTGATTTTAAATTGGACGAAATCGTGTTCAAAGAATATATTCTATGAATGATTGATGCTTGCAAGATTAGCCGTAGTGCATATACTTGTAAATCTTTCTTCTGATATTTCTATATACTGTAGTTTCAAAGAAAAAAAAACGACACTACTCAATTTCTAGCAAGTTGATTGATTGATTGTTTGCTGTTTTATGTCTCTTGTAAGATTATTTCATTCATATGAGACGTCACCGTATAAAGGGTTTCAAATTTAGACGTTTACTCGGCATCCTGGACCATTGAGCAGTGAGGGATCTTTATCGTCCCAACGCCTACCCTGACACGGGGCCTCGGTTTTTAAGGTCTCATCCGAAAGACCAACAAGTTCCACTTCAATGTGAAGAGCGTTTGGCCAAGAAACAGTTGCTTCTTTTCCTTAGGAATGTCTCGGTCGGGGCTTGATACTACCACCTTCCGATCACGGATAACTCTGACATGGAAAAATCATAAAAAGGACAAGAGATAAAGAGATACTTACTAACCTTGTGGCGTTGCCGGACAACTGGAGAACAAGAAATGCAATCTGGATAATCTCCCCTGGTCGTCCAATAAACTGGTAGCTACAGGAGTACCAGGGAGGAAAGTTCTGTGGGTACCGAGGGGAAAAGAACCTCCCTTTGCTAAAGCTACTGTCGTTGTGTTGGTCATTATAGGAACATGTGTTGGGATCCTTCGAAACCCGCTTCATTGTTGTCTGGAATTCATCTGTTCCATGTTAATGAAGAAAAACGGATTATATAAAAAAGTCAATCAAAATATCATCAGAAAGATATCTTTTCCCGTATACTATTCTATCTCGTACGTAAAATCAGTTTGGAAAAATAAAGGTCATTGAATTTGTTGTGTTTTACCATTCATTCTGTAGTTTGGGCTTCTGTAGATAAAAAGTACACTCATTAAACGCAAATTTGCTTCTCTACAAACCATTTGTAAATACTTTATATTCGATCCTTGCAAATTTGTGCTATTGAACAAAGTAATGTTGGAAAAAATACGAATACCACAAAAATGCATTTTCAGGTAAAAAAATAACCACGGTGTCAGTTAAAATTACTTCAAACGAAAATGCATTACCTTTTGCTCTTTAAGAACAAGTGCATAGAAAAAGCATAGATTACCAGTGCATTTTATATTTCAGTAAAATTGCCAGCCAGACATGCTCCAATATTTTAACGTTATGCATGATTTAAAAATCAATTTATGATTGTAAAGAACTGCATTTATGAGAATCTTCTTCATGCATGTTTTGTAAGATTATTTTTGCTGAACGGTTACGCACACTCTTGATTTTGATTGTGGATAATGTGTAATAATAAGTTGTTGGATATGTGCATCAATTCCTGAATAAAAATATAATTATTCTCATGTGTGTGTGTGTGTTCTTTTTTTTCTTTTTTTTAATAAGGACATCTGTGATGACATAGGAAGGAAATGTTTGTTCCGATTGTTCATGCCCCTGATATAGCTTGGCAATAATGGTAAACTCAGTTGTTTTATATAATATTACATATATTTGCTGAATAATTTATTAACTTTGTACAAAGTATCTTTCAAATAGGATTTTGATAATTCTGTAATTTTATGTAAAATTCATAAATCTTACTTGAGTCTACAAATGAGAACTTTCCAGTGAATCCTCTGTAAGTATTATTTAGAGTTCCGTCTCGTGCAGTGTGGAATTCCATATGTAGGCTTCTACCCTTAGAATAAAATGTTTTTTGGGGAAGGTCAGACATGTTTCCACATAAGTCGTATTCTGGTATACTTTGTTCGTTCACTTCCGCTCGTTCGTCTAAATAGAGTTTTAGAAAATCTGGGCACCTGCATAAACATAATTTAGATGAGCTGAATAAAAATTATAAAAAAAGATTAATATCAGTAATTTAAACTTACATTCTTCAAAAAGGAAAATAGGTTATTAAAAGTATTTTGACTTACATAAAATATCAAAATATGTGTGTACTAATATTATGTTTTCAATGTTTCAATTTTTTGAGCCAATTTTTAATTAACTTTAATAATAAATTTACCTGATCAATACAGGGCTGTTAGGCCCGATCCCACCTCTAGTTTTTCAAAAGGCACAATTTTTTGCCCTGTTCTCGATTTGTAATATTTATAGTTTACGATCTCGATCCCCGATCGTTATCTTCATCTTTTACATTATTCAAATTCAAGCCTATAGATTTTTGCAAATGTCAAGGGTTTGTTCAAGATCGTAGGAATAACCTAGCAGATAGGTGGTATCTATCTTACCTATAGGTGATATCTATCTCTATTGAACGCACAGCTTGCCTAGCTGCTATATATGTATCGAATTTTAGATACAAATATCTCAGTATACTAATTTTTAGAACAAAACGTAAGAGAAAATATATATGTAAATTTACATTTCACTCGATTCTATCAAGTGAACAACCTACTTTTTGTCAATATTCCGTGTAACTGTATATCTTAGCTTAATATTTATAAAGTACTATATTATGAATCTAAGGTAAACCATAAACAGAAATACTATCAGTCTGGCACGATTCCTGGGACTGTTTTAAGTTTAAAATGAATGTTAAAAGTAACTGTAAGAAGTAAATAGAAAAACAATCAGAAACAGAGAATTTTTTTAACTTAAACATTGTGCTATTAAGGGAATACTTATGAATGATTATGTAAAGGAACACATGCCCACTCCTTAAAATTAAAATAAACTTTAGATATAATTTAAGAATTGGCACATTGCAATGATATATGAACCCTTAATTGAGATAAGTCATTTTTTTTATCTATTGATAAAAGGGAAATGCTTATTGATGTCTATAAATATAATCATATACTTTTACCTTCCAGTTTTCGATCAAGACTGGAGAACAGTTTATCTAAGATGTAATTTTTGAAATCCACAAATATGATGTTACCTATTATTAACTTTTGGATGAAGGTTGAAGTCAATAAACGTTATCTCTACTGTTTCATTTACGTCTCCAATGAAAGAGAACAAGATACATATGATTCCCCGGGGATAGAACTGGGAACTGGTATAGTTAGGGGAGTGGAAGGTCCGAGACCCGGGCTGCCCTGTACTTTGGTACACCACACACTCACAACCTGAAAAGAAACAAAATCCATTTCAAGTTTAACATGTCGCAATGAAGCAAATTATCTAGAAGATTATAAGAATAATTACAAAAGAAGATATTTATTAGAGACATTCTCATACTTAGATAACTATATTAAGATAATTTTATTTTCTCTTGTTAATATATTTTTCTTTGACTTTGAATACAAACCTGTGTGAATGTGATGAATAAAAAAGAGACATAAAATACATCAATATTATTGTAAGTATACGGCTTTAGATTCTGTTATGGTTATATGTACTATTAGTAAAAAATGATTGAATGCTAATAGTTTTATTCCACCTCCTCAAAAGCCTAACTGCTTCGAAAATAGAGTCGTATGTAACATTTAAATAACATGATGAACAAAAGACTTCATTTACTATTCTTGTCTGCCCTATTATTAATTCAATATTAATGGCAATATCTGTATTTAGCATCTTCGATAAAAGTGCTATAATTTGTGAAAAAATAGAAATTAAGTTATAATTACCATTTTATACACGAGAAAAAGCTTTTCATTAGAGTTACCTTTCTTTTTTGCACGCTCATCAAATGAGAGACAACCTGTCTCAGCCTCTGGTGAAAATGGAAGCAAATGACGCAGAAAAGATGCAACAATTAATGCAATGAATTTAATTATTCCTTCTTATTTTGCATTGTTAATCAACAATCGAGTGAACACAACGTTTGAACTGTGTATCAACGAATTTAACACATAACATACACAGCTATCACAGTTAGAGTTGTTCCTCTTCGTTTAAGTGGGTCGATCTGTCAGTATGCATCGACATTTTTTTCTATAGATACAATATTATTCAAAGTGAATAACAAGCTTGTAAAACATATCATTCTTGTAAAAAAAAGATATTAAAGCATTCAGCATAGTTTTTGTTTTATAAAAATATCATTTTGTATTGTTTGAAGATTTTTTAAGTCCCTATTTTTTCTTTCTTTCCATGTCTTTTTAATCGTTATTTATATAATCGAAATATTATTTGAATGATTCTCTTTGCAAATATTCATGTATGTTATCCAATAACATATCAAAACTCGACATTTTCATACGCCTAACATATTGTATGTTACATATAATACGTTTGTATTTTAGACACTTCTTTTTAGTTTATATGTATCTTTAGGTCCCCTGATATACTACTATCTCATTTTATGTCTGTTAAAAGAATGTGAAGTTATAATTTCTTTTAGAATAACAAACGTGTAATCATATAAATTATAAATGTTTAGCTCTCGCCTAAAAACTTGACTGATTTTACAAAAAGAGTCCTTTGATTATTTTTTTAAACTTAATCATCGAAAAAATGTATAATCATTCGTATATTTATGCATATATTTATCTGTAAAAGGAATTATTCGTTTGTTTTATATAGCATATGAACTGTATGATATCCGAAGTAGATTTTGATGCAAGAAAGAGTTATACAAAACCATTCTCCTGTTTTGCCAGCTTGGACTATAGAAATTTGGCTTCAGTCCGTCCCTCCTACGTTTTGTGTATATATAGTTTTTTTTCAATTTATATTTTTCATTATAAAAAGCGAGAAAATTGACAAGTGTAAACTTTGACGATTGTAAGTCATTCGTCAGTTTCTTCAACGTTTCCATACTGCTAAAGAAGATTTCCATATTTATACATTTTATCATTCGACAGTATATTTTGTGTAAGTATTTCTTATATTCAAATTATGTTTTTCTTTTGAAAAGATATTTTATTGGATTGTAGTAAGAAGAATCTTCTTTATTTTGAAATACTTTCATTAATATCAAACAGGTTGTCTAATGAACTGAAGATTGATCTCTACGCTATTCGAAGATTAGAAATAACATGAAGTAAATATTGCTTTATCTCCTATTTTTAAACATATATAATAATATTGCTGGCAAAGCCATTAAATCAATTAAATCATACACAATTAAATCATATTCTTCCCTCATAAAAATAAACCTGTGGTTACTCTAAAGACCATAAAATGAAGCTTAGTTATTGGATTTTATAAACTCTTGGAAGTTCCAATGAAACAACACAAGGTTATACAAAATTGCTTTGACACCATTTATAAAGAAATCTGAAATTAACGAGAAAAACAAATGACCAGCGGATAATATGAGTGCTTCTGACGGCGGGAAATGACTTTGCAGACGACCTATTCCCCAGACTTCAGATCAATAACGCGGGCTAAATGTAGTGTAAATATATCCCTGTATTCCGACAGTGTTGTGATAACGTGTATTCCCTGAAGAGGGTACTAAGGCTTAGAGAAGACCCAAACCCATTTAATGTTCAAATGAGGCGGAGAAAAGTGTTGACAGTTATTCACACGATAAACTGGATTTCTGTAGGAAGAACAGATCTATAGAATGACCATGTAGAAAGGAAAAACTAGACATGTTTCAATGGCTCTGTACACAAACAAACTGGTGGTTTAACAAGATGGGTTAATTTTCTTTTCATAGCAAAAAAAGTCTTAAAGTACAGTAATTTTGAGTTTATTTAGAGAAGACATGTCTATTGATGTATAAATTTTACTTGGATTGAGGTCTGTCTAAAATATTATGACATTGTAAGATCTAAGATGAAGTCAAAATTTAAAGTCGTGGCGTATTTATATTTCTTGAAGATTAGGAGTACGAAAAAAAAAAACAATCAAGTCCAATAGTTACAGATTGTTTAAAATAATCATTTATTAAAAATTAAAATTTTTATTATGCAAGGAAACTTTGAATATATCAAACATTTATTCTACAAACTCTAATTAAGGCTCATGGTAATTTTGATGGATTACTTGCATTGATAGTGTGAGGGTTTACATGTACAATGCTGGAACAGACTTATAATGAAGTTACAATACATTAAATTTAAACGTAAAGAAACTTACCTGGACCAATGAGATCAACGGATAGAAAGAAGGTAGGAAGTAGAAATAGTGAGGCGAGTACACTATCATTCATCTGTGGAGAGAAAGAAAGAATATCAACAGCTTTAGTTTCCAAATTATTTGTACTGTACGTTATTTGAGACACCAGTAGTAATTACGTAAGGAATTTATACTACATGTATATTTCATCAATATAAAATAAAATAAAAACATAGTTGAAGCTCCACCCATCGTATATAATTAAAAAGACATAGTTACAGCTCCACCTATAGTTTGCGCAATGTACTTCTATAAGCACCTGATGCATTATTGGGAACGAGCATCATTAATTGTGAGATATTCAGTCTTTCTTAAAATAAATACGAGATAAAAATAAGAAAAGTATCCATAGTTTTGGCTTTCCTCATGGGCCGCTATCAATCTTGGAAAAACTCTTATCATTTACAACTTGAAAAACACAGAAGAATCAATATTGCAATTTCCACTTGTTATTTCAAATTGATTGCTTCAGGAATTCAAATGATCCTTGCGTTTCTTTCAAATTCTATGCAATTGCTTTTCAAGGTGCATGCTAAAATTTCACCCAAAGAAAAGCTTTATCTATTGATAATTTGTATAGTACCAAGTTTCTTCGAAAGAAAATCTGCTTTAAAAAGCAGGGACCAGAAGTGCAAGTCTCAAATTTCTGTCAATCTAGGGCTTTTAGTAATCTTAGATTTCAAAAAACTATGATTGTTCGCTGCTGTGTGTACTTGTGGACTTATCGTATCTAAAAATATACTCAACTGCACGTGTAGATTAGAGAGCAGCATATACAATATGTGCCAAGAATGGATATGATAAAGTTTTTAGGTAAAAAGGAATACAAAACCCTTACAATATGTAGAATTGCATATAAAGTTTCAACAAAATAATAACTTGAACAAGTTGATGTGGGTTAATTTACAATTTATTCACACTACTTTAATTTAATCCACAAAATATATACGATGGATTTTAGGTCTAGAATGTTATGGCGGGTAACTTTTCTATCGTCAACTTCCCTTTCTTATGTAGCAATATACCCTTATATACCCTTTTCACCTGCATCTGGAATTTATGTCTGCCAGTTGATTCGATACGCAAAAGCACGCTCTACGTACGATCAATTTTCAAAACGAGGCAAGCTATTAAGCTACAAGTTGATGACACAAGGATATCAACAGTCTCGTTTGAAGTCATCATTTTGCAAGTTCTATGGTCGAAACAATGGCCTTATCAGCAATTACAATCTACAACTGGGACAAATACTGACTGACGTTTTTCATACAAATTGTTGGGCCATTTTTTACACACTGTAATTTCTACGGATTTTTTCGTTTACCCGATCATGATAAGGAGCACACGACGAGTGTAACCGGTCGAAAGGGGATGCTTACTCCTTCGTGACACCTGATCCCACCTCTGATGTTTTTGGAGGTCCTTGTTTGCTCTGCTCCCGATTTGTATTGCTTAAATGGACTATGAGCTTGAATACTTTTCGTTATCTCCATATTTCATTATAAAATGGTTTTAGTAACGGCTTAAGGCAAAAAGATACAAAGAAAATTTTATCAAAAATCTTGAAAATAACAACTTAAGTCATGTTTACATAAGTAAAATGAATAAATTTAACCGCGTAGTTTTTAATTTTTTATTCACAATAATGGTATTTAAAGTGACAAAAAGTTGTATAGATTAATAAGAATGGTTCTAAAAGGCAGAAATTTGAACTTCATAGAAAGTTTACAATTACTTTACATTTTAAAAATCTATCATTTGCATCATTTACAACTAAAATAGATCCAAAATTATTTACCAATCCAGGCATCTATTTTCTGTTTGTATCATCTGTCCTTTAAAGTAATAATGACAACACTATTGCAGTATGAGCTTCACTACATTTAAAAATAGTTAACTAAGTTAACCCGGGTTAATTTGATCCTTAATAACTTTCAAAACGTCGACTAGTTGTATTTATAACCAATATCAAGATTCGATTTTGCAATAAGTTTATATACACTGTATATGGAACAATGTAAATGTAATTCACAATAAAGAATCTGGCGTTAAAAATTGGATTGAATATTGTGAGTTGAATTGATATAGGTTTATTAAGTTTTAGTAAGTTACAGTTTATGGATTTTATCTTGCTCTACCACATAATAATTTTCTTTAATCCTTTAAAGGTTATTTAATTGCTTAATAATGCTAATGCGCGTCCTTTTTCTGGTTCTCTGCTGAATTGATTTCACAAATTCCACTAGAACTATAATGGATGTTCATATTGACAAACACTAAAATCTAATTAGCAATCATTAAGCAGTTGGAATCTAAATACTTGGCAATAAATCTGTACGAATATATATTTAAATTATATTTCAACAGAGAAAGAAAATAACCCATTATGGGACTGGAAAAAATTGCCTTAAAAGAAGCATTGACCCAAATTGGCATGTTTGCTTATTTAAGCACTATTACTGTCTGCTTACTTTACATGACCATACTTATGCTCCTGTTTTTAAATGCTGATTTTTCCTATTTTGAAGAGTCCTTTTACTGACACCAAGTTAGACAAGCTCTAATAAAAGCAATGGCAAGAGATACATCTTTGGTTTCATATTCAGGAGCCTTCACGTTTGAAGCATGAAAAATAGTAACACATGTGAACATAAGATGACTTAGGTATTTTTCGGGTATATATCGAAGACCCAGATCATGTGCAATACTTCAAAATTACAGGAAAGGCTTTGGTCATCGGTCATAAGTTTCATACTAGGAAGTAAATAAAGTTTCCCATATATATGTATGACATCTGCGTTTGAGTCTGTTCTCACTATATATCATATATATCATTATAAATCATGGAGATATAAATGTTTTAGTCTGAATTACTTCTACAACTTGTCAGGTAATAAAAATGTTTCCTTTGCATGCAAATAGAAATTCAACATGAGAACAAAAGGGCAATAAAATTGTAAAATAGAGATAATTTGGGTCATGTCATGACAGTATTTATCTTTGAATATTACTATTGTGCAAATGACAATTTTTTTTAAAAAAAAAAAAGCAGACTCGGTCTCTCTGTAAAGAGCATATCTGTTACATGAAGGTTTATTGAAATTTTCGTTTGAAAATCAGATAACAAAATTCAGAAATAAGGTAACAGCAACAAAAACTTAACTTAGTCAGAAGAAGCCACCTGTAAAGAATAAAATGTGATTAGGAAAGGAAAAACTTCTAGAGAATAACATCTTACTAGATGAAGACACATTACCTCACTCAGTAATAATCGATTTTCAGAAGCAAGAACATGTATTTGTTTTGAAGAAATCTCACTTGGGACTCTTCAGTAAAAATTTCTTCTTGATTTGAAATAAACAAGATTAAGAGTTCCCATCGCCTAAAAAACATTAGTTCCCCTATTCCAACATTGATCAATTAACATTCTTGTGTATAATCGTTATTATATAACTCACTTTGAAATCATGACTTTTCGTCGGGATTTATTTTTATTTATTCCTAGTTTAAGGAAGAGACTCTTCAAAACTTCCCAGTTTAAGGAAGAGACTCTTCAAAAGTTTATGTGTAAGTTTTAATTATATTCAATTTCTCCAACAACGAAGTTCAATTTGAATAGCAATACCTTTACTGGATTCCAAAACTGCATAAAATTTCTTACAAATAAGGATGCACAGCAGAATTTAGTAAATAATCTACTAAGCGTCTTTGTTTTTTGCTTTCATTTAAATATTTACAGCAGAGAAAGAGAAATGTCAACAGTACAGTACAATAACATATTCGAGAAGCTTTTAGAATTTAATATGAAGGCTAAAAAATAATCGATGAATTTTAGAAAATTTTGAAATCAAAAAATTTGCTAAGATCGATCACATCGAAACGTATGCTTTTTCAATATTTATACAACTATTTTCCTAAATAATTTTCAGACCGGAGTTTTATTAATAATAGAAAACAGCTTTTCAATTAAAATGGATATTAAAATTTTTCATATTTATCATAAGTAATCTATGAAATTTGCTGCAAACCATTCTGATTCTCCACACAGGTACTCTGAGTTGATATCACTTGATTGACCGATGTTGTCTTACGTCCTATTTGAGAACGTATCATTCATATAGAGAAATCATGCCGGTGAAGGGCTTTAAATTTATACTCGGCACTCAGGGCCTTTGAACAGCGAGGGTTCTTTATCGTGCTAACGCCTACCGTGACAAGGACTTCGTTTGTCAAGGTCTCATCCAAAAGACCCATGACTTTCACTTCCAATGCCGGGCGCTTGGCGAAGTAACAGTCAGTACCTATGTAAACGTCTTAGGTTTGACTTAGGCGGCGGACGAAAATCGAACCTTGCCTCCCAATCACGAACCTAACGCCCTATCACTAGGTTACCCTGACCGGTTGTTGATATCAAACAGTTCCTAATTGACAATATTAATGTAGCCTTTTGAGACCATGTCTGTTGGAATTTCCATAGAAACTAATTGTACCCCTTTAGTAGAAGACTTGTTTTAGATTATTATGAAGTAGATTTATTAAACACATTAAATATTAAAAGAGGGAGTCTCTTGCTTAGGCCTTCAATTCGATATTTAGAATTTTCGGTGGTTTTATGCAGAGGGTATTAACAATTTTCATTTCAATTCATACATTGATTCTGTATATTCCACTGAAATCGAAATAAGACAACACAGAGCCTGAAGCATCTGTTTTTATAAGGATATTTACTTGAGAAAGACACTGATCACAAACTAAATTATCTGATGATCGTGATTATTTCAACTTTTCTATCGTCAACTTGCCCTATATATATTTATTCAATAAGCAAGAGCATATTCTAGGAGATTTTTTTTTTAAAAAAGAGGCAGGGTACTGTTAGATAAGTTGTTGATACAAGAGTCGAACTATCATATTTAAAGTCAGTTTATTTTCTTCAAATTCTACGGTCGATACCATACCCTTGTTTGCAATTATGGTCTACGTCAAATGTTGACTGCCATTTTTCATATAATTGTTAATCATTATTATACAGTT